TTTTCTTTGTAGGGAAATTAGTCCTTTGCCTGTGATATGGGTAGCAAGTATTTTTTTAAACTTTGCCTTTTGAGTTTCAACTTTATTTTGGATAGATTTAACTTGCCAAAGCTCTTTTCAGTCTTCATGTACTCAAATGTATCAGCTTTTGCTCTTATGACTTCTGGGTTTGTGAGAAAGATCGGAAAACCCTGCTCACTCCAAAATTGTATCTGGAAAGCTTGGGAAAGTCTCTCCCAGTCCTGTTTTTCTAGAAGGTGTTTCATCATCAATAAATGATGACTTTTAACAAAATATGTTCCTGCATCAATTGAGGTGATCATACTCAGTTTGTTCCCTGCTTAATCTGTTAAGGTGGTGAATTATATGAACTTATTATCTGATGTTAAAAAAAATCTTGCTTTCCTGGGGAGAAGCCCAACTTGGTCGTGATATGGTATCATTTTTACACATTGCTGGGCTCTTTTGCAAATATGGTACTTAGGATAGTTTCATTTGTGTTTAAGACACAGCTGAGATTGTAAATTAATATTCTCAAATTTCCATGTCTACTTTTGGCACCAAAGTTATGACTCATAAAACGCAACAGGGTCGTGTGCCCTGTACCTCTAGTCTCTGAAACAACTGTGTAATAATCGAAGCTATCTGGCTTGGTTTGGGGGAAAATTAGTGAATTGTTGATTCCACTTATTTCATATTCTTAGTTCAAATCATGTTTTTAGATCTTCTTCTTTGTTTTATTAAGGTGTATTTTCCTGTGTTTTCACTTTCTCTAAATTTTCAAATTTATTGGCGTAAAGGTCTCTGGTGATGTGGCTGCTTCTTCATTCCTGGCTTTTTACAATTTGTGACTTGACTCCTTTTCTTTATAAGTGTCAACACAGATTTATTCTGAGTTTTCAAAGGATCAGTGAAATGCTTTGTCAAAATGCTCTATTGTGTTTTTTCTCTTTCACTATTTCTGTTTTTATCTTTAATTATTACTTTTATTTCTTTCTGTTTACCTAGCTACTTCTCAACATGAATGCTCATTTTCAGCCATTCTTCTTTTTGAATACATACATGCATTTAAGGATATAAATTTTCAGGAAAGTTAGCTGTTTTCCCAAGCTTGGTCGGCAACATTTCCGTTGCACCCTAGTCTAATGTATTTTATCTTTGCATCCAAATGATGCAAAGTGAGGGTGGAATGGGAGCTGATTTACTTATGGTTTGTTCATTATGACTTGGAGAGTGTAAACTGGAGGGTGTATGTTTCTAAAGGGGGGGGGGGGCGGCTACCATCATCACCACTGTTGCTTAGCTCTGAGCATATATATTTTTATCTCAAAAAATGTTACCACAGCACAGTTTAGCTTTACAGCTGTTTACTTACAGGGAGGAATTCTCGACAAAGGCAGGAGATGTTTTTGTTTTGTTTTGTTTGTTTTACTTATGATTTCTTTATTGTAAACTATTGTAATATCAAATGCATTATCATTTTTAACATGACTATATTAATAGCATGTCTTTGAAAGGAACATCTAGATACATACCGTATTTCTTTGTTTCCGTAAATGTCAACTTCATGATTTTCAGAGAGAGAAGGAGGGAGAAGGAGAGAGAACATCAATCTGCTGCCTCAGGCACACCCCCTACAGGGGATTGAACCTACAACACAGGCACGTGCCCTGACAAGCAATCTATCCTATGACATCTTGGTGCCTGGGACCACGCTCAACCAACTGAGCCACAAGGGCCAGGGCTAAGTGCAGTTTTTAGTTCTACACTTGTTCTGTGGGTCCTGTCTTCTCCTATGAGACCCAGTCTTTGGACCCAGTAATTCCTGTGTATCTTGTTAGAACTAAATTGATTCAAATATTTTTCTCTATATAGCTCCTGGCCTTTACAGTTGCTCGCAGCAGGCACACTGGCCCTCATAACCTACTTCACATTTATCAGAATATGAAGTCTGTAATCTCGGTGCAGGTGCAGAGTATAAATGATCTCTTCGATCTATCTCATTTGTTATTTATTTAGTTCTTCTATGTTCTTATCAATTGTGTGCTTTTAATCAGCTGTGCACCCAGAGGCCATTTCAAGCCTCATAGTATTATTTGTGTCTGTCATAATCATAGGTGGCATGTATTCCTAGGATATTGTACTCTTCTTATTTTAAATTTATAGTTGACATTCAATATTATTTTATCATACTTCCAGGTGTACAGAATAGTGGTTAGACAATTCTAACATTTACAAAGTGATCCCCAGGATAATTCTCCCACCCAGTTGGCACCATACGTACTTCTTACAATATTCGTGGTTATATTCCCCGTGTTGTAGTTTACATCCCCGTGACTATTGTGCAACTACCAATTTATAATTCTTAACTGCTCCACCTTTTACACCCAGTTGCCCCAATGCCCTTCCATCTGGAAATAATTAATTTGTTCTCTGTATCTAGGAGTCTGTTTTTGTTTTGTTTGTTCACTTATTTTGTTCTTTGCATTCCACGTGTGAGTGAAATCATATGGTATTTGCTTTTCTCTGTCTGATTTATTTGGCTCAGTGTTATAACTTCCTTCTAGGTCCACCCATACTGTCACAAAGGGCAAGATTTTATTCTTTTTTATGGCCGAGTAGTATTCCACTATATATATGTACCAAATTTTGTTTATTCATTAGTCTATTGACAGGCATTTGGGTTGCTTGTTTTTCTTGCCCATTGTAAATAACACTGCACCTAACATACGGGTGAATATATGTTTTCAAATTTGTGTTTTGAAATTTTTGGATATATTCCCAGGAGTAGAGTTGCTGGGTCATAAGGCAGTCTTCTTTTTAATGATTTCAGGAGCTCCTCACTGTTTCACATAATTGTTTTCCTCATTTTTTTTATTATTGGTTTGTTGTTGTGTTTTATTTTGAGTTGTAAGATGTTTTTTAAAATATGAATTTTACCCCGGACTGTGTGGTTCAGTGGTGGAGCGTCGACCCATGCACCAGGAAGTCTCCGAATTGATTCCCAGTCAGGGTACATGTCCAAGTTGTGGGCCAAATCCCCAGTAGGGGGCATGCAGGAGGTGGCCGATCCATGTTCTCTCTCATCGATGTTTCTATCTCTCTCTCCCTCTCCCTCTCCCTCTCCCTCTAAAATCAATAAAGGAAAAGAAAGAAAAAAATATTCTTAAAATATAAATTTTAGATATTAACCCTTTATCAGATATCTTATTGGCAAAAATCTTCTCTCGTTTACTAGGTTGCCTTTTCGTTTTGTTGATGGTTTCCATTGCTGTGAAAAAAGTTTTTGGTTTGATGTAGTCTCATGTGTTCATTTTCCTTTCATCCCCCTTACATGAGGAGATAGAGCAGAAAAAATAGCACCAAGACCAATGTCAGAGAGTTTATTTCCTATGCTTTCTTTTAGGAGGTTTATGGTTTCGAGTCTTACATTTATGTTTAAGTCCATCATGAGTTTATACCTCTATATGGTGTAAGAAGGTGGTCTAATTTCATCTTTTTTTTTTTTGCATGTGTCTGTCCCATTTTTCCAACACCATTTATTGAATAGACTGTCTTTATCCCATTGTACGTTCCTGCCTCCTTTGTCAAATATTAATTGACCATATAGGGGTGGGTTCACTTCTGGCTCTCTACTCAATTCCATTGATCTACGTGTCTGTTTTCATGCCACTACTGTGCTGTTTTGATTACTATGGCTTTGTAGTGTAGCTTAATATCAGGTAGTGTGATAGCTCCAACTTTGTTCTTCTTTCTCAAGATTGCTGTGGCTGTTCAAGGTCTTTGTGGTTCCATATACATTTTAGAAAATTTTGTTCTAGTTCTGTGAATAATGGCCCTGGTATATTGATAGCAATGGGGTTGAATTCATAGATTCCTTTGGATAGTGTTCACAGTTTAATGATGTTAATTCTTCTTATGCATGAGCCCTGTATGTGCTTCCATTTATGTTTCCATTTATTTGTATTCTCTTCAATTTCTTTCTTCTGTGACATGGTATTTTTAAAAATAACCTTGCATTTTAGGACAGTTTAGAAACACAGAATTACTGTGATAAGTTAAAGTAAAGAGAGTTCCCATAACTTGTGTTCTAAACCACAGCATTACACTGATATCTGATAGGACAAACCTCTGATATTAATATTTTAGAGCCAGACCTAGGTATTTAATTTCAAGAAATAAATTTAAAAATCATGCGTGGGTCATTTTCACTTCCAGTAATGGCCATAATGATATAGGTTGTTGCTGTCTTCTTATCCCAGGGGGGTGGGGTGCGGTGGGGGGGGGGGAGAATACAATAAAAAGTTAAAACCCCAAATAAAAAAATAATTCTGTTTCGAAGGCATCAGAAAATCTTTTTTGTGCCCTGGCCGGTTTGGCTCAGCGGTTAGAGCGTTGGCCTGCAGTCTGGAGAGACCCGGGCTCGGTTCCCGCTAAAGGCACGTACCTCGGTTGCAGTTTGTCCCCGGCCCTGGTTGGGTCGTGCGGGTGGCGACCACTCGATGTGTCCCTTTCATGTCGATATTTCTCTCTCTGTCTCTCCCTCCCACTCTATCTGAACAAAATATAGGGGGAAAAAATGTCCTCGGGTGAGGATAAAAAAAAAAATCTTTTCTGTGTCCAGGACATCAGGGTAGAAGAACCTGGAGAGCAGGGAAGTTCACTGAAGGAATCCAGCTACCGTCTGCTGCTTTTCCCCTCAAGGAATTTACTGAATCCTGACTTGCCCTGGCTGCGGGACATCATTCAACAGGCAAAACACCCACTAAGAGGCAGAGAAGACATCTGCTCTTCAGAAAACGTATGGGGCTAGGGAAACAAACCGTGGAGTCAGACTTACAAACCAGTCAATATTTGAGAACTAGAAATCTTAGGAAGAAGAAAGGCAGACAGAGCTGAGACCGACATTGGGTGGTTTTCTTCCTCAAGGCATTTGTCCATACCTAAGCTGTGTGAGACATAACTGGAAGGCTGAGCAGGCAATAGGTGAGAGTCTCAACAGATTTCTTAGCAGTCCAACCCTTGGTGTAGTAGAGTACAAAACGGAGTTCCGAAGTCACCAAAAGGGGGACCCCAGTAAACACTTCAGACTGACATCTGGGACCCCTGGAGAGCTGCAACCTGAGGGGAGGGAAAACCGGAGCCAATCCCAGCCTTGGAAACCCTGAAGCATCCTGGGGAGAGCTCAGTCCCTGAGGGCTTGATGTGTTGACACCCACACTGCAGCCTGCCAGAGAGAGGGTGGAACTGCTGTGGAGGGAGAAGCATCATCCAGAGCCACTCAGCTATGTCCTAAACAATGCCTGGGATTTTGTTTTACCGCCAGACACATAAAAAAATAATAATAATAATAATAATAGGTTAGGAGAAGAGAAAAGAAAATACCCACAAGACTCCATTATTGGAATGATCAGGCATGGGCAATGACATAATTAGGATTAATATGTTCACAAATACAGATGACAAAATTGAGATTTTATTAGAAAACTGGAATTTAAACATCAATCACATGGATACACTAAAAATTGAAAACCTGCAAAATACAATCGGTGACATTAAGAATTCAACATTTGAGTGTAACAGCACATCAGAAACAGCAGAATAGAGGGGAAAAGAGAGGAAGCATCTGGGAAAGAAATGCAAGCACAACGCTGACATGGACAGGTGTGTAGGGTTTGTCCCTGAGACAAACTTCTTTTTGTCCCTGAGATACAACTTCTGCATAGAAGGGGCAAGGACAGGCTATGGCTTAAGGGGTAGCTAATAGCTCTGAAGCCCTTGTTGTGTCCTGGACACTCTGCTGGCTCTGCCATCTTCATCCAAAGACAGACTCAGGAATCTCTTCTGAATGACTGCATCTGGTCCTCAGGAGACACTTCTGCCTCTTAATCAAAAAAAGCCTTAATGGGTTTTTTAAAATATTTTTATTGTGATGAAACATATGGCATGCAATTGGCCACGTTAACCATATTTAAGCGTACCATTCAATGGCTTTAGAGTCACAACATTGTGCAACCATCACTACGATTTCCCAACCCTTTTCATTACCCTGAACAGAAACTCTGTACCCATTGAACAATAACTCCCCCTTTCCTTCACTCAAATGACCCTGGTGTCCTCTCATCTACCTTCTGCCTCTATGAATTTGCCTATTGTACACATTTCATATATTTGCAACCATCTACTGTTTGTCCGTTTGTGTCTGGGGCATTTCACTTAGCATAATGTTTTCAATGTTAGCCATCTGGTAGCACGTGTCCTAAAGACACTTTAAAGGGTAGAAATAAGAAGGTTTCCATAATCATTTGGGTTGATAAGAAAACTCTAAATCAACTTTTGGTAGCCCACTGTAGGCATGGGCATAACTCACTGTGTGCTTCACGAGTCCCATTTCTGATGTTTTAGGGGAATGTTGAGGTAAAGATCAAGAATGATTGTCCTCTCCCTGATAAGCTTGCCAGGAACAGATGTGATGTGTCAATAAATGACTGAGTGAGATGGTCTGACTTCTGTGAATCAGAAGAGAATTAAAAGGGTTTTCATCACAGACCATTTATTCTCTGCTCAAGATTAAATTAAGTGAGATATGAAATTATCTACACTGATTTCTCAGACTCATAATGGTGAAATTTATTTTATTAGTGGATGGATCACCTCAAGATCCTAACAGAGCAACTGGACACTTCTCTGCAACCCTAATGCAAGAAACTCAGCCATATCAGGAGCAGAAGCCAAAAAAAGGGGGGGGGGGTGTTTTCAGGGTCGGTCTCTGTGGACAGGACCTGCTCACTGCTTCTCCCCCTTTAGGTGGCTCCGTCCTGCCTCCTATATGCCAAGAGGATTGACAGCAGTAGGCCCAGCCACTCTGCTACTTCTCCTTCAGCATGTGGGTACCTGAAGGGTTTGCTTCATTTATTGCAAAAGAGATTTTATAACTAATAGTCAAGCATGAAACTATTCACACAATATAAAAGAATTAATGAAGAGGGGGCATATTCGGCTTCCCTGCTCTTGCACACCCACAGTATCTTCCCTTCAGTGCCTTGCTTGTTCTAGGGAGAGGATAGTAAGCGTATAATGCATTTCAGAGGAAGAAGAAAATGTCACATCTCACCTGGTGAGTCTGCAGGCTTATGATGTCTCAACTTTAGTTTCACATGACTTCTGAAAAAAACAAAAAACGGTTGAAATCTAACAGTATATTTTTTAAACATCCTAAGACCAGATCCTGGGTTGTTTTACTGATGGGAATCTCGCACTCTTCCCCTGTTCTTCAGAACCAATTCACACAAAAAGACCTTGTCAGTCTACCAGTGGTGTCTTACCACATGCATCTACTTCACTAGGCGATAGAGAGGATTCAACCGGCCAGATCTATGTCTTGCGACCCGAGTCTTAGAGAATGGAGATTAAGGACAGAGGAGAATTGAGTCACACAATTCTGGTATTGCAGGTGACATGGTAGGGGACCAAAACTACTATAATGAAAGAGGAACACTTGCCTCCATCTATGGATGGCAAGCTGTTGTTGGCATGAAGATAAGTTGTGAGGCACAATAAAGGCTTTCTAAGAGCTCTCCTTAATGTTCTGGCAAGATATGAGCTGGACTTTGCAGGGGCTCATGGGGCAAATGCACATCCAACTTATTGCTTGTGAATAGCTGACCAGATATGCTGGCTATGTGATCAGTGTGGCAGCACCTCTGAGTATAGTAAGATTATCAAGCCTCACACCTCCTGGGTTAGGTCCTGTACTCTTATCAGTGCATAACTGAGTTCATGCTTTTCCAGTTATCACTTGTGGCACTGTTGTGGAGAATGGATAGTGTGGGGCCAGATCAGTTTTGAGCCACTATGTGAGCCATAACTCTGCAAGTATCACTTGCCTTCACAGTAGTAGACAGAATAAAAGTATGTGCTCTTCCTGAATTGGAATATGCCTACCACTGCGCAGATCACACAGTGGACTTCTTTCCCTTCCCCTCTTAACATTTCCCACAGTGATTTTGGTAAGCCAGACAGGTGGCTGTTATAAGCCACCGGAGAGGGGTAAAGTACTATGTCATGGAGCCACTACTCAGAACCCCAACTAGTCATCTCATCCCTCCTTTGTGAGTCTCTCACCCCTCATGCATAACAGAGAGATAATGCCAGTTGCCTTGCTTACAGGGTTATTGTGAGGACTAAACAAGCTAGCAAGCAGCAGGTGTGAAAGTGCTTTGATAGAGTACGTGACCTAATTCTGTGAGTTTATTTCCTTCAGTGCTTAAGCAATCCTTACCCCTGACTTGTTTTCGACCCTAGGAGCTCTGCTACTCCTTTATCACTGGATTTGTTGATTTTTTTCTTTTTTACACAATAGTCTTTATGACCAATGCACTATGCAAGGGAAACTGATTTTGCTCATTGAAGTAACATGTTTAGTCCCAGGGTTGGACTCAGGATTTCCTCAATCCAGTCATGGCTATCCCATTCCTCTTTGTCAAACAATGGTTTCTCCAGCTCCCTCTACAGCTAAAGGTGGCTGGTCATGAGACCAAATTCTGCCCCTTTAGATATATGGGGAATGTTCTGGGGGTTTCTGTGATATATGCCATTTCTAAATAAGAAGGACAGATGTAGGACAAGAGGAAGGTGGTACTTGAAATGTGACAGAGATGCCTGGAGGCTTTGCAGCCTGTGTGACAGCATAAGGTTATAGTCTCAACCTGCTGAAAGTAGGAGGGTGGAAGCCATGGTGTCCTGTGGCATGTTTGAGCAGCTGAATCAGGGTGCAGGTGCTTACAGACGTCTCATCACTGGAAAAAAAAAAACAACAACAACAACATATAAATGGTAAGGCCTATTTTGTTTATACTTTTGGCTCCAAACTTCACCTTAAACTCATTTGAAGTTAACTTAATTTTTTTTCTTTATTGATTTTAGAGAGAGAGGAAGGGAGCAGGAGAGAGAGATAGAAACATCGATGAGAGAGCACATCAATTGACTGCCTCCTGCATGCCCGCAGTGGGCATCAGGCACACAACCTGGTCATGTGTCCTGACTGGAAATCGAATGAGCAACCTCTTGGTGCATGGGTCTATGCTCAACCACTGACCCCCACCTGCTGGGCTGAAGTTAACTTTTACAAATACTAATACAGACCCTATATCCAGAAATTCTGAGTTCATAGTCTATATTGTTAGTTTGGATTTTTCAAAAATGTTCTGTTATAAATACTGTGAAACTGATAAATAACAAGTTAAGAAGTTAAATATGATGAAGAATCTACATGTAAATTCCACTTAACTTCAATAATTATGAGCTCTTGGTCAATTGTATTTCATTAAGACCTACTAACTTCCCTCACCTCCCACCCCAAATTTTCTTCAGGCAAACCCTAGATATTCATTTTATTATCTATCTGTCATCTATCTCCCTAAAAATACTACTTTAGTAATGAAATGCATGCCATTATCATGCCTTAACAATAACTAATAATTTCTTAATATCTTCAATATTCATTCACATATAGTTTTCCTTATTCTCCTATAAAAAAAGTTATCACTTTGTTGTCTTCAACTCTGGGTTCTATTTAATCTCATGCATTGCACTTTCTCACTATGCATGTTGATTTTTCGTAATACTCGCCATCTCTTACTCTCATTTTTTTTCTTGTGAGAAATGAGTTATTTGTTCTCCAGAATCACACACACGCACAATTTTGCTTATTCACTCTCTCTTTTTTTGGGTGGGGGCATCATTTTACACACTCCTCTGTCCCCTGTCTTTCTTGTAAATTGAAATTTACATCTAGAGTCGTCTCCTGATTCAGTGTTCATATTTTGGCAAAAAATATCTCAGAGATAGTGTGGAATTAGTCCATTAAGAGGCACATACTGTATGGTTGTCCTTCTTCTTGTAATGGGAGCAGATAATGCTGTTCATTGCCTAGAGGGCTTATGTTATTCGAGGCTTTAAATAGAGATGTTCTAATTCTTTTTATCTTTATTTATTAGATGGAATTCTTCAATGAAAAACTTCTCTCACCTGCTCTTTGGTAACCAATGTTACAGTTCTTATGCCAAACACAGGATAAGTGTTTCATTATTTGCCTCTGCTTACTTAATTTCAAAATAATAAATTAATTTTCTAGCATTGATAATGGTAACAATGAGGATTTTGTTCCTTTAAAGTCTTTATGGACCCAATAATGATTTGCTTAAATCCATTTTAGTTATTATTCTTATTGACACTCAATTTTTCCCTACATGATGCAGATTTGTAACCTGAATTTGCCTACAAAGCAGGTGTTCAGTAAATGCGTGTTGAAAATATGTCAAACATCAGTGAGGTGTGTTGACAACATACTTGTTTTATTTTAACATTATATTACTGTGTCCGTCCTTCCACTAGATGTTTGAAACTGACATTATCCCTTTGCTATCTTTGGTGTCATTCAAGTATTACTACATTTGCAGAGAGAAAAATTAAGACTCACTCTCCTTCATTGTATATTTCTGCTTTAATTAGGGGGACAAGTGACCTCAACTAGGCTCATGGATTTGATTCTCTTTTGGCTTACAAAATTCATTTCCCCACATTACCATTAATTCTCACTCAACACTCTTTTCTACATGTTCATCCGTACCATCATCTGCTCTACTTCCTAGAACCTTGCATAGTTCAAATTTTCCCTTTCTCTAATACATTTCCTCCTTATCATTGAACCAGCACTCCTGTGGAAGTAGTTTGTCAGTAAATCAATAAGTGTCTTTACTCTGCTTTTTCACCTCAATGGTTATTTCAATTATGGGTGTGCATTTTAAGGGCTGAGTATTTGGGCCTTCAAATTTCTGATTTCTAACATGGAGCTAAAAGTAAGGCTCTCCTGTATCATTGTGAAATGAGCTCCACAAAAGATCATTAGAACATCGTGAAGCATACTAAGTCTGGGATGTGTAAAACATTTGTACCTGTAATTATCTGAATATAGGCTGCCATAAAGGAAGTGTTGGATTAAATGTAGGGGAATTAGACAACCCCTTGAATTTATCCTATTATTCTGAGATATCAGTAATAATTACATAAGGATTGCTAGGATATACACAGGAATTGGTTAGCCATCATATTAGTGTATGAAGATACTTTTTCCTCCTTTGAACCCCCAAATTAGCCTACTTTCTGGGAGGGCTACTCCAGCACTTAGCTATCAGGCAATTCATTTCCAGCAAAGTGTGCTTAACCAATTTTTTTAGTAGCAATTCTGTGTACTGGTGGAAAATAAACAAGGTTGAGTGACCAATGATCCCAGTTTTCAGAGTTCTTCATATTTCCCATATGATTTGTGTGCGAATTAGCCTGAAAGCAACAAGATTGCAGTGTTATCTTTGGTTTTGTTGTTGTATCCTAATGTAGCACTGGAAACATTGGATGAGTAACCTCTCAGAATATGGTGTGGACATTTGCTGGTAATGAGGACTGCCTTAAAATAGAGATACATTTTTTCTGTTTAATCTCAAAATTAGGTTATTTTCTGAGTGTGCTACTCCCACACTTCGCTATCAGGCATTGCAGTCCTGACTGAGGTTGCTTTCTCACACCTTATTGTAATTATGGTGGGTAATGGTGTCTGAAAAATGATGAAGCTGCTGAAGCAACTTACAATTCTGGCCTCCATGGTTCTTTGTATCCTTGCAACTAGCACTCCAGTGTATAGCTGTAGATGTGGATTCAAATATCCCCTGACAGTGAGAGGCGGCTTTTAGTCAGACATTAGACCCCCTCAATGCAGTTGCCATGGGAGATGAAACATCCTGATTGCGTTGTTGCCATGGTAACTCATGCACTTGACCCAATCTTGTTCAGAGTTGACACACCAAAGGCAGCTTTTCCTTAGCTGCCAGAACCATCTCCTTTGTCAGTTCAGAGTGAGAAAACAGAGCCAACAGAAATATTTTCCCAAAGATATTCACTATCCCATAAGTTATTTGGCTCCATAACTGAGAAAGGATTGCTTCTGGAATTTTTATTAGTGTTAGCAGGTGTGTGCACATATAAATTATTTGTATAATGGGGATATACTGCATAGAGCACACCAATTGATCCCCACTATTGGAGGAGTAAGCTCTCAAGTCATATATTATTCATGATTAAAATGAACTGGAATAAAGATAGCTAGAGCTTACTGAGAACTTTTGATCTACAAGGCTCTACTTCTTGTCTTTATAGGTAGCTTGATTAGCAATCACTTATTATTCAATGTATAATAAACTTAAAATAATAAATGCATAAGATAATGTGCATGGATCACAACAGATAGGAATGGAGAACAGACAACTTGATGGGTGGGAAGTGGTTTTCAAAAGTAGTTTTAATTTACCTTTCTGTTGCTATGAGTAGATTTGATCATTTTTTCATATATTTAATGGCCATTTGTATGTCTTTTAAAGAACTATTTGTTCAGGTTTCTGCCACTTTATGTAATAATGTTATGGTCTTTTTTACTTGACTTTAAGAATACTTTGCATTTATTTGAGATATTAGCTCTTTATTTTTTATATATTTTGAAAATATGTTTTCTAAGTTGGTTATTTGATTTTTATTTGTTTGTCTTTTTGTTTTAGTGTTTTGCCAGACAAAAATGTTTCTTCTTCTTTATTTGTAGGTAAATTATTTATTAGTTTTTCCTTTGTGTTTGGATTTTGATTCCTTGGTAGAAGTCCTTTCCACACCTCCAGATTATTATAGAATCTACTTGTATTCTAATCTAGTGTTAAAGAGCTTCATTTTTTTTACATATAGATCTCTAAATCATTTGGATATTGTATTTTTTATTATGTGAATTAGGGATCAAATTTTATCTTTTATCAAATGAATATCAACTTGTCCAAACAGCATTTATTAAAATGTTTATATTTTCCTTAGTCATATGTGATGTCACCTTTATTATATAGTTAAGCTTCAATATGTACATGGGCATATTTCAAATCTCTCTATTCTGTTGCATTCAACTGCCAGTACTACATGTTAGTTGTTTTTTTTTTGTTTTGTTTTGTTTTGTTGTTTTTTTTTGCAATTTTTATTGATTTATTTTTGTTATAGATGTTTTTCCTTTTCCCCCATTCCTCCTGATTCCACCTCCCCCCCCCACACGCACACCCCAGCATTGTTCTCTATGTCCATTGGTTACACATACATGCATATAAGTTCTGTGGTTTATCTCTTTCCTCCCTCCATCTCCCTCTTCTAAATTTTGTCAGTTGGTACCCTACTTCTATGTCTTTGGGTCAATTTTGTTCATCAGTGATATCATGAAAATGAGTGAGATCATGTGATATTTGTATTTCTCTGACTGGCTTATTTCGCTTAGCATAACACTCTTCAGATCCTTCTATGTCGTCTCAAAGGATAAGAGATCTCTCTTTCTTACAGTTGCATAGTATTCCATTGACGCAGTGACCCAACTTCTACGAATATATCCTAAGAAGCCAGAAACACCAATCAGAAAGAATATATGTACCCCTATGTTCATAGCAGCATTATTTATAATGCTAAGCTCTGGAAACAGCCCAAGTGTCCATCAATAGTGGTAAAAAAGCTGTGGGACATAAGTACTATATGGTTTTAACTATCAAGACTTTATAGTATGTTTTATTCCTGGTTGGGCTAATTTCCCTTCATTGCTATTTTTTTTTTCCATAGTGTGTTATAGCTGTTCTTGCATGTTTGGTTTTTATCTTCAAAGGAACTTCAGAATTAACCTCTTTCTCTAGGAAAAAGAAAACAACTTGCTGCTATATATTTTCTTAAGAATAAAGTAAAAAGAAAAGAAGAAAACTTTACCTTTTGTGACAGAATGGATGGGCCTGGAGAGTATTATGCTAAGTGAAAGAAGCCAGTCAGAGAAAAACAAATACCATATGATTTTACTTATATGCAGAATCTAATTAACAAAATAAACTGACAATCAAAAGAGAAACAGACTCATAAAGAAAGAGAACAATGTCACCCTAATAAATTCAATACAAAATTTAAAAAGGAAGTACAAATTGGTAGTCATAAAATAATCAAGGGGATGTAAAGTACAGCATAGGGAATATAGTCAATATTGTAATTAATATGTATGGTGCCAGGTGGGTACTTGAAATATTGGGGGGAATGCTTTGTAAAGTAAATGATTGTCTAACCAGTGTTGTAAACCTAAAACTAATACTAACTAACATTAAATGTAAACTGAATTGGAAAAAAAATTCTAAATGTGTTAATTAGTTTCCAAATATTTGTGGATTTTGCAGAGATTTTTCTTGTATTGATTGGTAATTAAATTCCATTTTACTCAGAGAATCTTTTTTTTTTTTTTTATCCTCACCCGAGGACATTTTTCCATTTTTTGTTCAGATAGAGTGGGAGGGAGAGAGGGAAGAAGAGAGAGAGAGAGAGAGAAATGTCGACATGAAAGGGACACATCGAGTGGCTGCCTCCCTCATGACCCAACCAGGGCCAGGGACAAACTGCAACCGAGGCACGTGGCCTTAGCGGGAACTAAACCCAGGTCTCTCTGGACCACAGGTCGAAGCTTTAAACACTGAGCCAAACCAGCCAGGGCCGATTTTTTTTTTTTTTTTTGAATGGGTGTTGAATTTCATTGAATTCTCTTTCAGAATTTCTAGAGATGTTCATATGATTTTTCTCCTCAGACATATCTTTTTTTTTTTAATCCTCACTCAATGATATTTTTCTATTTATCTTCAGATAGAGTAGGAGGGAGGGAGAGAGAAACACTGACATGAGAGGGAGACATCAACGGGTTGCCTCCCACATGACCTCGACCAGGGCCAGGAAGAACTGCAACCCAGATACATGCCCTTGACTGGAATTGAACCCGTGACTCATTGGTCTGCGGGCTGACGCTCTACCGCTGAGCCAGACTGGCCAGGGCCTGAGACTTATCTCAAGGTGAATTATATTAATAGATTTCCTAATTATTGAATCACCCCTGACTGCCTAGAATAAATCCCACTTGTTCATGGTGTATTATTTTCTTAATATAGTGTTCGATTCTGTCCACTGATGTTAAATTTAGGAGATTTGAAACAATATTCATAATGGAAATTGTTCTACAACTTTCTTTTATTATACTTTCTTTGTGAGGTTTTGGTATCAATGTTATACTCATTTTATAAAAAAATTTAAATTTCTCTTTTTTATGTTTTAGAATATTTTGTGTAGCATTGGGAGTAATAACTTATGTTGCATTGTGATTAGCTGCTGGTTAAGTTTTGATAAATTCTTCTGTGAAAATTCTAAGTCCTGGTGCTTTTCTGTGAGAAAATTCTATAATAAATATCGCTATTCCACCCTCCCCCCATGGAACTTGGTTTCTTGAAGATCTCCATCTCAATTGGAATCATTTTTTGCAAACTATTTATTTTCCTAGAAAATCATACTTATTATTTAGGTTTTCTTTACATTTATGGTGCAAAGAAGTGTTTTGTTATTATTTGAATTTTTCTGTTTTAATGGTTATTTTTCTTTTTTCATTTCTTATTTGTTTATCTGTGTTTTGCATTTATTTCTTGATAACGTTAACTAATGTTTATTTATTTTAAGAATTCAATATTTTATTTATTCAGTTGTATTTTTTTTCTGTTTTTTAATATCCATACTATTTTCTTTTATCTTTAGCATTGCTTTCTGGTGTTTTCTTTTGGTTTCCTTTATTTTTATTTTTTGCCTAACTTTAATAGTTGAAAACAATTCATTAATTTAATTGATATAAGTATTTAAAACTATTAAATTTCATTTAATAACTGCTAAATATATCCCACATGCTGGTATTTGTAGGGTTTCCATTATTATTTCATTTTTGGTGCTTAAATTTGGGTTTCTATTTCCCCTTTCACTCAAGAGTTTTTGATAGGACCTGCTTGGTTCCACTACATGACTCTGCAACCTTTAATAGAGTTTTTGAATTATTCTGATGAAAATACTTTTCTAAAAAATTACTTTTATTGCATCATGGGAAAGAATACTATGTGTGTTATTTCTACTTTATTGAATGTGATGATACTTTCTTTGTGACCTGGCATATGGTAAAGTTTATGAATACTCCTTATGTGCTTGAGAAGGTATTATTCTATTTTCTAGTTGTAAAATTTGATGAATACACAGAAGATTTACCTTACTGATGATATGGAGTGAGGTCACGTTTTTTCCAGGAGGACATTTTGTGGGCCACCTTAGGGGATAAAAGGGAAGAACTTAGCAAACAGAAATAGGGAAGAGTGCTTTCATCTGGGGACTGGTACATAACCAGAGACATAAGATTCTCTAGGCAATTATAAGCACTCATTTATTCAATAAGTATTCAAAAATGTAATCTATGACAAGGCAACTTTCATTTAATTCAGGTTTCTTCTTAAAAGGCACCGGCAGGACTAACCACAGCTAAAATCACTATCAGTCTCATTGTTACACTGCTTTATTTTATTCCAGTACTTAGTACTTTTATGCTTATATTTCTTATTTTCTTTAATATCGCTTCTTGCAAAATGGTAACATAATAATGGAGGAGAATTTGGCAATAACAAGCATGTACCTGTTGGCCTATAAATTCCATTTCTCAAAATCAAAAAAACACTGGGGAAATATGTAAACGTTGATTGCAGTAATATGTGTTATAAGAAAAACTGAAATGATTAAATGCCCATGAATAGAGGACTTGAAAAATAAAATAATTGAATAGTATGCAACTATAAAAAGGAATGATGACTATTTCTGTATATTAATTTGGAACACTCTCCTGGATATATCAACAAGCAACAAAAATCAAGATGGGGAAAACTGTATACCATGTTATTACATATCACATATGGTGAGTATGAATACATATGAAATTATAATCCACAAACTAAAAAATTATATGGGAAAGAGATGGTACAGAATGGGAGGGATAAGAAGAGAAGCTGGACTCTACTAAAATAGGTTGTTTTGTAGGTTTGATTTTGGTATTATGTAAATTTTCTACATACTTATAAAAAACAATTAGATAAGTTAAAAACAATGAAAAACATGAATCTAGTAGGTTTTATTGTGCATCCAGTTAGTAGCTTTACCACACAAAAACTATTTGAATGATTTTAAAATACAGTTATTTGTTCTGTACATTTCTAGTGGGATATAACCTGAGGATTAAAATAATTAGATAAACATTTTAAACTATTTTCAGAATCAATAATTGTATTGTTAATGTTGGCATAGTTTTTTGTTTTTTTTACCTTTTTGGTTGTGAATTGTGGGATAACACTAGTGAGTAATTTCGTTGGTGTCATGGGGAGTCAGGACTTGTGACTTCAGAGAAAGGATATAATAATAAAATACTAATGACATAAAGTACATACCCTGGAGCCCTGAATTTTAATGGGAAGTATCAGTATAAATTTATGCTAATTTTGCTTTAAAAATGCATATGTATTTCTTAGCTCTGCCTCCTAAGTACACTAGTAACAATGACGAACCCACTATCATACAACCAAGCACCATGATTTTACTCTTTAAAAAAGCATTTTCCATTAAAAAATCAAGATTAGATGAACTAGCTGATTTCAGGAACTGTATAGGTGAGCTTTGAACAACTTACTGTACCAGGAAAGAGGAAGGACTGTTCAGGTCATGTAAAAAGGATTCAAGAGCTACTATGAAGAGCCTAAATGCCAAAAATGGGACAGTTTGAGCACCTATAAAAATAGATAATTAAATAGATTTAAACACACTAAATTTGTTTAAATATTGTATTCATGGTGATTCCAAAATATACACTATGGTCACCTTTAAAAGTGCTAGAAAACAAAGTCATAATTTGAAACTGATGAATAGAAGGAAAGAATTAAATAATTATCCTTCTATTTGTATATCTACTGTGTTATCAAATATTTAATGAGGGAAGACTGTCTTTAGATAAGTATTCTAGCTAATAAATAAGATGAATAGAATATCTTTATTCTACAATCTGTAATGAAATATTCGGTGTAGGCAATAATCATCAGTCTCTGCTAACATTATAAAAAAGAGACAACCAGAAATTATGTGTCACGAGATGAAAGTACACAGCACTACCTGTGAGATATTCTTGCTATAGAAAGGGGGGGGGGCAAAGGAGAAAGCAAACTTGAATCTAATGAAAATCTCTATCTCTAACAACCAATTTACATGAAAGCCAGGAGACAGAGAGTCATGGAGGATGTCAGCAAAATCCAGACTGCATAAAACTCTAGAGAATAAAGGACTCAAATTCTTCAACAAATAAATTACAAGAAAAACAGAAAAGAAGTGACAGCCTACAGATCAAAAGAGAATTAATAGTTATATTAACAAATTTTAATGCATGAGAGTAAGCTAGATCCTGAGTTGAAAATAAAACTTTAAAAAATATTTATGACAAAATTGGAAATTTTAAACTATGAATGAATATTTTAAGATATTTAAAATTGTAATTAATTTTTCCACATAATAATGTTATTGTGTTCATATTTGTAAAGTGTCTATGTCTTTTAGGGATACATACTGAAATAATATTTTATTAAGTAATATGATGTTAAATAATCTGTGGGTGGAGAGAAGTAGGTGGGAGTATAGATGAAATAAGACTGACAAAGAGTTTTTAGTTGTTGAAGCTGTATGAGATTTACATGGGTTATTTAATATTACATCTTGTCATTTATCTGACATTATTTATAACAAAAAATCTAAAGCCACAATAGAGACTAATTAATCAGAAATTCTGGATGTGTAGCTAGGGCATTGGTATTTTTTAAAAGTACTTTCAAATAAGTTTGCTTTTTTACGGGAATATTTTTAATGTTTATAAGATCCAAAAATCACATTCTTGAACCAATTCTTAAACATTTAACAAATCATTTATTCATAAATCAATAAATGTATATATACTAAACCAAAAAATGTGGACAATCAAGAATACATTCATAATGTGCAGGCATGTTGAATGAGACTATTTGCACAGATCTGAATATTTTGTAAGTAGCATAATCATTGCATTAACATACCCTAAATGTGTTTATAATCTCATTTTTACTACCAACTCTCCTTAGAAAGGGTCAATTCTACTTAGTTCTATACTTGAAGTATTACTATGCAGCTAATAAACAAACAAGGGCTTACCTTTTTTTAAAAAATCATGTTAAGAAGTCTGGAAATATCTGCATTGGTCCAGGTGCTCAATGCTATAAGAATACCACAGCTTCCATCTTCCTGCTCAACCATTTTCAGCAGGTTGACGTTATGACCACATGGTTGCAAAAGCTCCAGACCTCTCTATCACATTATAAGTACCATCATCCTCTTTCACATCTATCCTTCTTATTAAGAAACAGCCTTTTCTATAGAAGTCCCTACATTTCTGTAAACCTCATTTGGCAGAATGGGGCACATGGCCACCTTAAGGTGTAGAGGAGGCTGGAAAACCATCATCTGACAAAGGAGGATGGGATAGCTATGACTGCATTGGATAAATCATGAGGTCCACCCTTCACCCCAGACCAAACATACTGTTTCTTTTTAAATTTTTTTTCTTTATTTTTAGAGAGAGAGGAAGGGAGAGGGAGAGATAGAAACATCAATGAGAGAGAACATCAACTGGCCACCTCCTGCATGCCCCCCATTGGAAGTTTGGCCCACAACCTGGGCATGTGCTCTGGTCGGGAATCGAACTGGTGACCTCTTGGTGCATGGGTCAATGCTCAACCATTGAGCCACATCAGCCAGGAGATATATATATATATATATATATATATATATATATATATATATATATACACACACACAATCAGTTTTTATTACCAGAGCACATTGGTAGGAAAGGCTGTTGGATCAGCAATAAAAAAATCCAGCAAGAAAGAAGAAGCAGAGTTCTACAGTTAAAAACACAGTCAAGGGTAAAAACTGAATATGCACTGAAGGGAATAAATTCACAAGAATTGAGTCACATACTGTTTCCAGGCACTTTTATACCTGCTACCTTGTTCAGTCCTCACAACAATCTATAAAGGAGGTAACTGGCATTATTTCCATGTTATGCATGAGGGACTAGAGACTCATAGAGGAGGGCGAGGGGGCTTGTTTAATGTTCACAGTACATTACTTTACCCTTCTGTTATAGGTCATAGTCCCTTATCTGGTTTACCAAGATCACTGTCGGAAACAAATACGGGAAGAACAAGAGGTCCACTATCTGTTCAGCACAGTACTAGGCATATTTCAATTTTCTTCCCCCTGATGGCCATGTCAGGAAACTAACATATTTAAATTCTGGCCACTTCTCTGGTGATGAGATCTTCTGGCAGAGATTGGGGCACGAGGATGGTTCAGAGCAGAACCTGCCCTTTGTTGTAACTGTTACTAGTTTGTACACTCAGGTCATATGTGTTATCTTGGATCCCAATAATTCACTCAGGCATTAGTAGGTAGTGTGGAGCTTCACACCCATACCTGCAGGTCTGTGAGGCTTGGCAATGTCACAATCCTCAGAGTTGGCTGCCATGCTGCTAGTGTTGCCAGCAGTTTTGACCTCTTTGTCTTACAGAATAAATGTGATGTGCCTTAGTCCCTTAGCCACCTGTGGGCCCAGCTCAGACTTTGCCAGGAAAGCAGTATGACCTTTCTCATGCCCCCAACTTCCCTCCATGCCTTGAATTCTGTGCCATCCATAAAGGCAAACAGTCCTTCTTGAATTATGTCAACTTTTGGCAACTGAAACATTTTACTCACCAGCAGGACCTTGTGATGCCACCTCTCATCCATTCTGAATCACCATCCTTTAAGGTTGGGGCTCCTTAGCTATATCTCCTGCTCTTCAAACTCTCTGTGTTTCCTTTTTCCAATCTGTGAAACATGCTTACAGCACATTTGCCCTTTCAGACCAGAGTTCTTTTTGGTTTAGTATGTAATGAAGAACATGAATGGGAATGGAGCGTTCTGTTATTAGCATCACTCAGGAGATAAACCTTTAGATGTTTAAAAATGTATTAATGCATTCTATTTCACCTATTCATTTATACCCTACCAATTGGTGAAAGAGGCTAATGTGTTTAGAAAGCTAAATAATATATATCATAAGAGCATCAATTAAAGGAAGGTGCAAAAAAGAATATAAAGGTAGAAATCAAACACTAACCTTTAATCCTAGGACTGACAGCTAAACCTGCAGAAGCCATTTGGGGTCTTTG